TAGTGTGAGGGTCATCATCTAACCTATGGAGCAAATGTGGTCTTGTTTTTACAAGTATCTGACTGTCTTTGTAAATAAAGTTTTATCGGAACACTGCCATCCTCACTTGTTTACGTATCATCTGTGTCTCTACCTTTTAGCTTTTACAGCAGAGCTGAATAATTGTGACGCACAAAGGCTAAAATATATCAGCTCTCTGACCCCCTGCAGGAAAAGTCTGCTGATCTCTGGTCTAGAGTCACAGTGTGACAGGGGAGATAAACCACTTTCCAAGTCCTGTTCTTTGTTTACTCCCAAATGATGCTTTTGGACAGGGAATGCTCCAAATCCAGAAAGCTCTTGGTGAACAAAACCATTATCATAACCAATCACCGCTGTTTCCTTTGAAAGCCAGCATGTTCATTAACAGAGAAATTTCCTTGGAAATATATTCAGGTGCTTTTTATTTCACATTGTCTTGTTTTGCTTTTCCCTCTGTCCTGCCAAATACATCTATATTATCTAAAGGACAATGGGAGCCAACAAAGATGCAAAGAGAAGGAAATGGTTAATATACTTTCCAATGCCCAAAATAAGTTTTTCCATCAAGGCAATATTTTTGATAGTCAGGTTTTGTTGAGTAAGAGGATTTTCTAAATTTTTCTGTTTCCTCTTTGAATTATTATGATAGAATTCCATATCAGATCTATCCTAGCCAAACAAGGGAAAAAGACAAAGCTCACCTTTTCTGATTGAAGAGTACGGGGATTATGGGAAGAAGTAAACAGAGGAAGGGAAAGCAGGCATTCAGAAATGTGGCTTGGTCTCTACTCTCTAAGATCAAATCAAGGATATGAACCTGGACTTTAAACCAGAAGTGTTTTTTTCATTTTTGTTTTGGAGATAGGATCTCTCTGTGCAGTTCAGGCTGGCCTTGAGTTCACTTTGTAGCCCAGGCTGGCCTCAAACTCACAATGATCCTCCTGCCTCAACCTTCCGAGTGCTAGGATTACAGGCGTGTGCCACCACACCCAGTTTAAACCAGAAGTGTTGATACACTCTATAACCCCAGAGGATCCCACATTCAAGCCCAGCCTGGGCAGTTAAGATACTGTCTCAAAATAAGAACCTTTAAATAAGGGCTCAGTGTGAAGGCCCTGCATCCAAAACCCAGTACCACTCAGGGCCCCAAGAAGAACTCAATGACTACATTCATCTGCTATACTGTTAAAAGGCAGGCCACCTCAAGAGGAACTGCCCTAAGAAGCCGCCTTGGCCATGCCCTGAATGCAAAGGTGACCACTGGAGATCAGTCTGCCCTCTGAAGTGGAGGCCCCAGAGCTCACACCCATCCTACCAGTTAGTCCAACAGGAATGAGGAAGCCCGGGGCATACTCTGCCTTCTCTCTCTGGCCAGACTGTCATCTCCATGGAGGAGCCCTGAGTAATCATGCCTATAGAGGAACAAGAAAACAGCCTGTTGCTAGACACAGGTGCAAGTCTCTTGGTCCTTCTTTTCAATCCTGGCCTTCCTTCCAGCCGTCACACCTCAGTGAAAGGAGTCACTGGAGAGGAGGTAATACACTATTTTTCACAACCATCAGACTGTAACTACTTGTTAGATCCTTCTTGCATATCTCTGTCTTCCTGAGAAACCACTTTGAAGATACCACCGTGTATTACAGCAGCCATTGATATTTCCTACTAATCTGTCCATAACTCTGTATGTTTGTATTGTTCCTATGTTATTTCGTACATGGACGTATGTTTATTACTATGTGTTTCCTACAACAACCATTAAGAATAGTTAATGATTATTCAATTGGTCACTCACGTATAGCTCTATTTATTTTCTTTAGAAACCACTTTGAAGATACCAAAGTATAGTACAACAACCATTGATAATAACCTAGCTCTTTTGTCTGTAACTCACTATTATTTGTCTACTTGTTTTCCTGAGAAATGATCTTGTAGATAACAATATGTAAAACAACAACCATTGATAATTTCCTACCACTTTGTCTGTAATTGGGTAAGCCCCCTTATTAATATGTTATCCTTCTTTTACTCTTTAAAATAAAAAAAAGCAAAAACTCAGCACCAGCCTAAAAGAAGAAGATGAAGGAGGAGGAGCAGGAGGAAGAGGAGGAGGAGGAGGGGAAGGGAAAAGGGAAGGAGAAGAAGGAGAAGGAGAAGGAGAAGGAGGAGAAAAAATTTTAAAAAGAGCATGAATTTTGAATCCAGAAAGCCTGCATTCAAATCTCAGTCTAATCTTGGGCAGCTCCTTAACCTCATGTTCTTATTTCCTCCTCTGCAGATCCATGTTATGATAATATCTACTTCCAAGAATTGTTATGAAAACCAGAGAAGCTGCGTGTGCATTGCAGTGCTTAGAATAGTGCTTGTCACATAGTGGCCTTGCCACAGTTTGTATCTGGAGTGTCCTTGTGAGGCCCAGGTGCTGTGCCATTTAGGGAGACCGAGTGGGAGGAAGTTAGGTCATTGGAGCTGTATTCTCGAAGGGGATATTGAGACCCTGGCTCCTTCCCTTCCTTTTTTCTCACAGCTTCCTGGGCATGAGGTGAACAGACCCCCTTTACCATGTGCTCCTGTCATGATGAAATGTGCCACCACAGGCCCAGAGTGACAGGGTCAAGTGACGATAGAATGAAACCTCTGAAACCACACGCACAAATAAACCCTTCCTCTTTGTAAATTGATTTGCTCAGGCATTTTGTCACAGCCATGGAAAGCTGACCCACACAGGTGCTATTATGGGAGGAGGGGGTAGATATTATTGGTAGTTTTTTTTGAAGGAATGCAGAGAAAAGAGAGGGCTTTATGTCTTACTGCCATTGGAAATCCAGAAGACCACCTCAAAGGCTGCCCTGCACCAGGTTGATCAAAATAAACTTTTCCAGGAGTGGTGCTGAGCTTACTTCTCCCCAGTTCTTCCTCAGCATCCCCCCTTCCTCATGTGCCCAGGGGGGGTCAAGAGCACTAGCCAAGTGTCTGGTAGGAGAGTTTGCAGTGGGGTCATTTTAGGGGTGGACCTTTGACTGCTTCTGCTGGGATATGCACAAGTCAGTGATGGCGAACCTTCTAGAGACCGAGTGCCCAAACTGCAGCCCAAAGCTCACTTCTTTATCACAAAGTGCCAACACTGCAATTAAACCTGAATACTGAGGTTCTAGTTTAGAAAAAAACAACTCATGAGCTCGGCTTGAGTGCCAACAGAGAGGGCTCTCCATGCCTGCTTCAGTATGAGTGCCATGGGCTCACCACCACTGACACAAGTCATGCCCAGGTCACACGACTGGTCATGTCATCAAAGGGCCAAGATGACAGCCGATGAGGCAGACCACCAGGTCCTTACAAGCAGAAGAAGCACAGGCTGCCAATGCCAGCAGGAAGTCATGAGCAGGACCAGCTTCTCCTCACAGCCAGCAAGTACAGGAAGAAGAAGCCCTGCTCCATAGACGTCCCACAGCGGGAAACCAGCTGGAGACACCATGGGATAAGTCCAGTCTCCCATGACCCTAGATGCCATCTTCAAGAGAGAGGGCTGGAGATCCAAAAACCAGTCTATTTAAACTGCACTATTTGCCCCTGAAATTATTGAAATGCAACGTGCTTATGGGATTAGACGAAAGCGTAGTCCTCGTCCTATTACCCAAGCCTCTTTCCCACCACTGTCTAGCAGGATGGGAACTCTGTAAAGATATTTAGTAGAAATAAAGAGATTGCCTATTTTTAAATTGTTTGTACATTTGAGTGTGGTGAGGTCAATATGACTCCGCTCCTCCCTCCACTTCTTAACCTCTGAAAGGGGATTTCTCCCTGATCGCTGCTCCGCCAGGCACAGGCAAACATCCACACCCACGCCAGCACCGCCAAGTGTCTAAAACCAGCTTCCGGAAGAAGGCTGAAGAGTTTCAGGCTCTAAAATAAACAAGAGAAAGAATTGCTTCCCAAAAAGAAAAGTAGAGAAAATTCAACTCATTGGGTGAAAAGGATTTGAAGAATTTGAACCCCGCCCCAATCCATTAAGGGAGAAGTTGAGGGTTTCAAACAGTTTGTCAATAAACATTTATTGTTTATTTACTTGTAGAGTAAAGCTTGTGCTTTGGAGCCTTTTAAGTAAACCATCATTTTTCTCTTTTTCCCTTTCCTTCCCTTCCTTTCGCTTCCCTTCCTTTCCCTTCCCTTCCTTTCTCAACTTTTAGAGATTGACAGAACCAAGCAAAGAATTGCAGAAATCCCCAAACCTTGATCTTGAGAATATGCTCAAGGCCACTTGATCTTGAGAATATGCTCAAGGCCACTCTGCCTTCGGTAATTGGTGACTGTCTTGGTTACTTTTCTCTTCTCACTGAGACAAAACACCTGACACCCAGAATTAAGGAAGGAAAGGTTTATGTAGCTCACAGTTTATGGAGGTTTCAGTCCATACTTGGCTGGCTCCAAGGCAGAGCGGAACATGGCAGAGGGCAACCGTTGGTGGCAGTGGAGATAGCAAAAGCAACAAGAGCAAAAAGGGAGGGGGGGTGGCAAGCAGCCTCTCTCCCTCCCTTAATTGTTTGCAAACTACCTGTCCCAGGGCAGGTGTAGCACTCACATCCATAATTCCAACACTGGACCAATCACAAATCTAGAAGCCCACCCCATGACTGCATGAGGATTTGGGGGGACATGCAGACACAAACCGTAACAGTGACTCTCCTTGGCTCCACCACTGTGAAGGCAGAAAATATGCTCAGGCTGTTTTCTCATTTTCTTGGTATACATGCAGGCTTGCTTTCCCAGTGGTAAAGCTACTGGACCAAAGCAGACCGGGTGACCTCAAATGGCTGGGGGTCGGGGACAATGGAGTCACTGGTGAAAAGATGCTGTCGCTACCAGCTCAAAAGGCAACCTACTGATGTGCCACATGCCATGACCCAGAGCACACATGTGCTGACACACGCGGACACACATGCTTACACACGTGTGCGTGTGCACACCGCCCCCAGGGGCTGCAGGCCAGGCGAGCGTGCCACATGGGCTGGATGAATAGCAGGTCTGTCCTGCAGCTGTGTGCTCTCTCCCACCCCGAGAGAGCACAGAGCCGCAGACAGCAAAGCCGAGGAGCCCACGCAGTCTGTCCGGCACCGGCGAGGGGACTGGAGGGCAGCAAGATGGAGTCAGAAGGAGAAATCGGCGGCCGTCAAGTAAGTTCTGCCTGGGAGAGAGGAGGGGGAGCTGGAGGCAGAGGTGACGCTGGAAGAACAAAGGATTCATACTTCGGTCACCTGATATTCTCCCCGTCCCAGGGCTCCTTCCTCTTCCCACCGTCCCCAAAATTGCCTCCCTTCTCCTCTTTTCTCTCTTTCCCCGCCTGGTTCTTTGCTTTCCTTGAATTATGTGAGAAGCGGATTGTTTAAATCCCTCTCGGCCTCCGTCTCTCCTTGTCAGTCAAAGAGCTAATTAGATCTGTGTTGCAGAAAATGATTTCACATTCTGCACGGTGCTTTTCCCCAAGTCCCAGGACAACGGAGACTATGTGGGAGCTGCCAGGCAGTCCTCCGGAGACAAGGAAAGATATAAGTGTGGAGGTTTGGGAAGGGGGCAGCTGGCCAACTTTGCATTTTACAGGTTGGAAAAAACTGGAACCTTTCCTCGGGTGTCTCCACAAAGCTTTCCTGTGCAGGACAGAAAGAAAGTGTCTCATTCGGACATAGCAAGCACAGGACATTGGCACAGGCTGCTGGGGAGAGGCAGCCCTTGGGTCCCTCCCTGTCCTGGATGGGCTGGAAGGGCACAGAAGGGATGCAAGGCTCTGGTGACAACAGAGTGGGGTCGCTGCCGTCTGCAGTCCGAGGTCCTCTGTCAGCCAAAGAGAGTAGAATCAATCTCTCTAGACCCATCACTGAGATTCTGTTTGTTTGGTTTTTTTGTTGTTGTTGTTTTGGGGATTTTTGGTACCAGAAACTGAACTCAGGACCTTGAGCTTGCCAGGCAGGCGCTTATGCCACTGAGCTATAATCCCAGCACCCCATCACTGAGATTCTATGACGACTTTATTCATAGTGTCAGACAACTAAAGAGCAGAAAAGACTTTTGAGATGAGGTATTTTTTGATCCTGGAATCTGGTCTTTCAATTAAAAATTAGGCAGAAGCCCAGTATACACTTCAGGTTAAATAAGAGCTTGTGTGTGTGTATGTGTGTGTGTGTGTGAGAGAGAGAGGGAGAGAGAGAATTGTGTAGAATGCTGGGAGCGTGGCAGAGCCTCTGCCCTTGGTCCCTCACTCAGAGACATCACCAGGACCTTGCAGGATTGCTTGGGCACCACACCAAATCCATCGACCTGGCACAACCATGTACCCATTTTCATTTTCCTGCATTATCATGCTCCTGCCTCAGGGCTTGCTGGCTCTTCTTCCTGGAATGCTCTTTTTCCACCCTGCTGGGACTTCCCAGTCTCAGCTCAGCCTTGCCAGACCTTCCCTGACCAGCCTTTGTCTCAGAAGCCCTGAAGACACAAACTTGTCTTTATCACATGCTTTGTTTGTTGATAGCACTGCTCACCGCCAGAGGTTTCTCACTGACTCCCTGCAGCTCTCCCTGGGATATGCACTCCATTGGAGGGGACTACGCCTGCTTTATTCATTGCTAGGTCCCCTGTGCCCTGAGCAACGCTTTGGTACTCGGTAAGCAGCTGGAGAATATTTGTTACATGAATAAATTAAGGGAACATGAGTTAGACGGGATTAGTAACAGGCACAGGTCACTCAACCAAGGCCACGACAGCTAAAACTCCAGTCCAGGTCTTCTGAGGTGCATGTTCTTTTTATTTCACCAAGTTCTTGTCACTGTTGGATCCGTAGTAGCTAAGGAAACAGTGTTGCTCACACTCATGCGCAGAACATGTTTCTGGCCAGGGTGGTGGTGCAGGCCTGTAACCCCAGCACTCAGGAGGCTGAGGTAGAAGGACTGTCACAAGTTCAGGGCCAGTCTGAGGGACATAGTGAGTTCAAAGTCAGCCTAAACTGTATAGTGAGTCTCTGTCTCCAAAAACAGAAAACAAAAAAAGAAAGAAAGAAAGAAAGGAGAGGAAGGAAGGAAAGAGAGAAGGAAGGAAGGGAGGGAGGGAGGAAGGGTGGATATGTGTTGATGGGTTAAACAGTTCTGAGTCAGACCGAGAATTTGTCTTTAAATTAAAGACTCAAAAGGAAAGAGGTGAATGGGATGAAAGAAAAGGAAATTTCTGACCAGGCTTTATAAATGCCTCTATCTCTAGCAGGTAAGTAAAGAGTTAGTGTAAACTGGGCTGTTGGTACACACTTCTAATTCCAGCACTCAGGAGGTTGAGGCAGGAGGATCAAAGTTTGATCCTCCTGGTCTACATAGTAAGACCCTGTCTCAAAACAACAACAACAAGCTGGGAGTGGTGGTGCACGCCTGTAACCCCAGCACTTGGGAGGCTGAGGCAGGAGGATCACTGTGAGTTCAAAACCAGCCTGGGCTACACAGTGAGTTCAAAGCCAGCCTGAACTTTTTAGTGAGACTCTGTCTCAAAAACACACACACACAAAAAAAAGACAACAACAAAGTTAGTGTAGCTTTCCTTTCTACATTAGAAGTATTCCATCTTTTAATATATTATTTTATTCAAGTATCTTATTCTCAACTTCCTTTGGTTATTTATTAATTTGGTTGGTCACAAGGTTATCCATTACTTACTACAACTTCCTGTCCAGCACTCCAGATAAAATTGGAACTTAAATCCTCTTTGGAAACTAACTGCAGTTTCCCAAGAGGAAGGCAAACTTTGGTCGTAGGCAGGCAGCAGAATCTGTCCCCTAGAGACGTGGTTTTACTATTTCAGGTGGCAGCTGGCAAATGAATCCAGAGGAAAGGGCTGGGGATTTAGCTCAGCGGCAAAGCGCCTGCCTGGCAAGCGCAAGGTCGTGAGTTCGGTTCCCGGTACC